GAAGCAACTGCCATGTGATTGGTTGATTAGATAATTGCATTAATGAGAAATTGAACAGGTGTTCCTAATAATCCTTTAGGTGAGTGTACATCATCTGTACTGTGCTGGTAATATTAATATTAAGTATTTGTATTTTTGTATTGTTATTTCTGTCCACTGATCCCTGACTTGTCCCCGCACAGTGGAGGAGATTCCAGAAAACCTATTGGGAACATCGTTCACATACATCAGCACAGAGGGCCGGCGCTGTGTATCAGAAATTTAACTGTTTCCACAGCAGTTCAGCCCCTCCTGGAAGTTTTATCACATATTTTGTCCTTTTCTGGCTCAGAAGCCCCAACCGCATGACTCATGAATGGTAACACATGCAATGGAAATAAGAGACTGTTCTTCAGTCCATAGTAAGCCGTGTTTTAGAGGTCAGGGACATTTTCATGTGGCTATTTAAATTTAATCTCTTGCACAGCTGCTGGTTACTGAGTGCTTCCATAGGGTAATAATTACTGTGTAGAAGTAGGTGGTAGTTGAAAAATTGTATAAACGATTTGCTGATCTTTCCGAAAACAAAAAAAAGGAATTTTCTCAAGAGTTAAAGAAATGTATATAACCCTAGTTATCTTTGTCCAACACTTGTTAATGTCACGCTGAATTAGCCTTTATTACTCTATAAAGCTAATTACGAACTTCTTGTTCAGAAAATCAGTTATTTGCTTACAAGGCTTGGGTGGTATTATGGTAATACAGAGTGCGCCATGATAAAATTTGTGGCAGATTTTACCAGCAAGATTTCAAAATACCATATACCGCGTCTGGGTGGGATGTCATGCAAGCCTATTGCTTACCTGTGTGAGATCTTCACCACAGTGTCTGTCTGGTGAGGTATTGGGCAGCCTTTCTCGGGTGTGTGGCCCTGAGCTTGGGAGGCCAAAGGCATGAGCGCTGATAAGATGATTGCCCCTTTGTCTCCCAGTCCTCTGGCCTGTAACTAACCCAGGCTCATGCCAGTAGAAACAGACACCCCCAATGATATGTGATCTCTGGACCACTCTACCATTTGAATTCAAGACAAGCTGATCATATTCGATCAGTTGATGTGGATGCCAGTTGTCACAAGCCTGGTAATGAGTTTGACCTCAGTGAGCTGTTTATGAATGTGGCAGTAATCAGTCTGTCTTCTCAGCATGCAATAATCAAAGTCGACATGGCGATGGTGGACGTGCTGGGGGTTACAGATAAAGGTGGAGGGTGCCGTTTGTTTCGTAAAGCATGTATCTGAGTGCTACATGGGTTTGATCGAATGGCCATGTGCAGCATGAGCCTGATGGAGGTGTGTGTGTGTATCACCTCCCCATGACACACCAGAGGAGTCTGAAAGCAGACGGTTGGTGTCAGGCAGAGACAGAGTAAACAAGTCGCTTTAATGAGCCATCACTGCGTTGTCTTCCCACATCTCATGTCTCATGTGAACAAATGGTCTCAACAGCCAGGGTTTTTTGTTAGAAAATTAAAAAGGTTTCATGGGAGAGGCACCTTTAATTAATCTCTCGCTGAGAGCGTGCAGCCTCTTATTATTTTGGATTAATCAGGTCTTATATTGAGGTAAAAACACTCATCTCTGTAAATAACTGGGGAAAATGGCTTTATGTAATAGAACCCATACCTCCAGACTGTGAACTGACACCACCAAAAACCACACACACACCAGCTCGAGACTCTCTTGCTATGTTTGGTTATGTTGCTGATGATTGACATGTTTTCATATATTATTATTTTTTGTGCTGTGTGTGGATTCCTGTATGATATGCATTGTAATAAGCGAGTTGTATTGAAGATGTGAAAATCTGCCAAAGTCTGAATGTTGCTATATGCTTAGGGGACGTGGAGTGAAGCAAACATAAAAACGCTGAGAAACAAGACAAATTCCCTGAAAAGAAAATTAAATAGGACATAAGCAGTAATGTACACTGTAAGGACAAAAGTCCTGGGACACCTGGCCATTACACCTATAGGGACATGTATGACATCCCATTCTAAACCCATCAGCATCAATATGGAGCTGGTCCCCCAAGGAGTGATGTTCCACGGTATGGCTCCAAGCAACACAACAATGCTGAACACTGCTTAACAACGGTTAAACAAGATGAACACACCAGGGAACAGCACAAAATAAATGGAACGTGAGGGGAAAAAAAACCAAACAGGAAAAAAAAGACAAAAAAGAAAGTACTAAGTACATGCAAGTAGGGAACAGAGCAAACCAGGGAGCAGGACTAACGAAACAAGCAGAGCTACAAATGCGCAGTTGAATGGAGTGAGGGCAGGCACTTAAATACATACAGGCACAGGAAAACAAGCAACAGACAATTATTAAGCACAGAACTAGGGAACCTCAACAAACAGAAACTATACCAAACACTAAGGGTTACAACACTAGGAAAAGATTAGAAACATAAGCAGAAACAGAACAGAATTAAACGGGGCACGGGCAAGGTAAACCTAAAATAGGGAAACAGAGACAATTAAATAATAGGGAAACAGAAAACCGCTAAACATTGAATAACAGATGAGGCTGGTCTCCTGCTAGCCTCAAACTCATGGCTGGAGGGTTCAGCTTCTGAGCCACAGAACCTTTGAGCTATGCAGTGGGAAACAGAAGGGCTAAAGGCCTACAAGACATGGAGGGGGAGCAGTATGACCAGTGACGCCTGCTGGCTGAGAGGGAACAGGACACATTAAAGGTTCACTTCACTGGAACTAAGGGGCCTAGCCCAACTCTCAAAAAACATCCCAATACCATTTGCCCTCCTCCACCAGACTTTACAGTTGGCACAATGCAGTTAGGCAGGTAACGTTCTCCTGGCATCCATAGAACACATTTCCACTGCTCCAGAGTCCAGTGGTGATGTGATTTACATCACTCTATCTGATGTCTGGCATTGCAATTGGTGATGTATGGCTTGCATTTTATGAAGCTCCCGGTGCACAATTTTTGTGCTGGGGTTAATGCCAGAGGAAGTTTGGAACTCTGCAGTTAAGTCAACTGAGCGTTGGTGACTTTAATGCACTATACACTGAAGTACTCGGTATCCCCAGCTACTTTACTTGCTGTTACTTTACTTGGTCTGCCAATT